AAAAAAAAAAAAAAGAAAGAACTATTGGATGTTTTTTCCTTCTATGAGATTGGCCATGTCCCAGAAGGAAACTATTCTTTCAGACTATGTCTAAGAATGAAGGCAACATGGAGGAGAATTATAACCCTCTACAATGAATCTAAAGGCTGAGCAAGAAATAAACTTTTGTACTAAACCACTGGGACACTGGAATTTTTTATTGCCACAAAATAATTTAGTCCAAGATAGGCAGGTATTTAATAAATGTTGGCGGAAATAAGAAAAGCCATAGAGAGATGGAAGATGAACTCTAGCTGGAGAATTTCAGAGTCAATTTTGTTAAACAACAACCTTCTGTTGAAAACAGATAAAAATTAAATTTCTGTGAATTGCTAATTAGGAGGAATAGTGGGAATTGAGGGCTGAGAGGAGAAAGGAGGATATGTAGATAATAGAGGAGGCATATATATTTTGGTAATGTAGTTTGGAAAGAAAATGAAAATAAATTCTTGCTGGATGAGCATGTCCTTAAGATGTCTTCAGGGAGAATTTAAAGAATCCAATACCTTAGATTCTTTGAGAATGGGTACATATTAAAGATTTCTCCTTTAGTTAAGCCAACCTAAGTAAGCTAAAAATGTTTTTCCTGTTCTAAATGTCCAAGTCACTCAGTTTCTATAGTCAAAGAAAAGGTGAAGGCCTAATATAACACTCCAATTAAGAATATTATATGTACACTGAATTCTTGCTTTTCACAGAAGTTATGTGCCATAAACATGCACCAAACTTTGAATCAGTGAATAGTGACCACTGTCCCCAGGAGAAGGACAGGTTTAAATTTCCATGGGCCTCTTTTCACAACATTTCCATCAAGTAGGCAGTAACTAACCTTGCTTTATGCATGTCCTGTCTAAAGATACCTTATTTAAAATATTGTTGATTCATTAATATTGAACTCCCAACAAATAACACTTTACTCATGCATGAATGTAGCTGATTTTAAAAATGCATTTTCCATGTAGGCAATATCATAGCCTTCTTGCATTTGGGAACTCTAGATAACAAATCAGCACTATGCTGGGGGGGGGGTATTTTAAACAGTGAAATCAACAATAACAACAACGAAAAAACCCACAAAAATACAAAAACCCTGCTACTAAACAGATCATGAAAAGGACACTTGTTTATAATACGAGAGCTCCAACCAGAAAGCAGAGGAGCATGTTGTTCAATCTCAGCTGGGAATGTGCACATCCAGAGACTCAACAATTTTTGCCACTCTGTGCGTGTGGGGCTCACAAATAAATTTTAGCAAGTAGATGAATTTGCACATACAGAATCTGCAAATAATGAAGACTGACTATATATCAAGGAATCAGAAGGAAAATAATGAAGTGGATTATGGGGAGATGGGTAAAATGCCCATCAGTGAGAAGAGAAATTAGATAAACGGATGAATGGATGGATGAATGAGTAGAGACACATAGGCAGGTAGATCGATAGATAGATACTAAATGAGGAGAGGTATTTTAAATATGGTGTGTTTTTAGTTTCTTCCCTTATCTTCCTCCCCACTCTTTATTCCTTCTTTGGTAAAATAGATGTCTCCCAAAAGTATTTAGGTAGTACTTGACAGTCTAATCTATCAGTATAATGTAAAGTATTAGATCACAGAAAAGTAGCATAAGTTTTTCTTGGCATTTCATTTTGCTTTTGGATTTATTATTTCTTACTTAGAGATACCCTGTCATCTTAACACAAATCTTAAAAGCACATTTTTATGAAAATGTTAATATTTAATAACCTAAAGTCAATACGACACCATCTAACTTAGCCATCATGGAATGAAGTTTCTTGAAACTTGTATAGCAGACATTCCTCACTAAGTTTAAATAGAATAACCTTGGTTTATCAAATTGATATTGGAATTTTCTGTTTAATTACAAACTCCATTATGATTTTTTACTTTGCTGTTGAATGGAAACATCTGGAACAAAACTTTTAAATTCACAACTCTAGGGGGTATAGCTCAGTGGTAGAGCATTTGGCTGCACAACTCTAACTTATAGACTACTAATAAAACTTCTTTTGGGGGCACCTGGGTGGCTCAGTGGGTTAAAGCCTCTGCCTTCGGCTCAGGTCATGATTTCAGAGTCCTGGGATCGAGCCCCACATCGGGCTCTCTGCTCAGCGGGGAGCCTGCTTCCCTTCCTCTCTCTCTGCCTGCCTCTCTGCCGACTTGTAATCTCTGTCTGTCAAATAAATAAATAAAATTAAAAAAAAAAAAAACTTCTTTTGCCGACTTCTTAAATATGGAGAAGAAATTTATACCTGAGCCAGAAAAAAGCTGAAGAACATGGTGTGAATTGAGTCAGTTAACACACTCCAGCATAGATACTTTTTTTATGGAAATATTTCCTCCAGAAAAGTTTATCAAGACAAGCTTTTTACAATCCCTATTAAATTCAATGAATGAATTGTGAAGGGTAAATTGGACCCATTATAATCTTACATTTCTTATGTAATATTCATAATCATAGTGTTACATAAGAGCAAGCTAGCATTAACAAAAGGAGCAATTTAAATTCCCACTTCTTGGAGAATGGGGCTCTGCTTGACAAACAGCCCTTCCTGCCCCGTTTGCAGCACGCCCCTGCATCTCCTCCGGCGCCAGTGAGACCCACACTCTCATACCAGTGATATAATAAACCCTCCACAACAGAGGGAGAAAATGAGGCAAACAAGCCCACATCATTTCAACTTGTCAGCTTTAAATAAAATCTTCTGCAGCTGAAAATGAAAAATTTGAGGGAAGAGAATGTGTGAAGTAACCAAATTCAACACTGGGACAAAACATATTGCATGACTTATTCGTCTTTTTCCTGAGCTGCCACAAAAGTTTTTGAAATTTTACCATAATTTTTTAACGAAATCTCTTTTGTCAGTGACGACGTAGAAGAAGAAATGGTTCATTCTGTTTGTTTGTTTGTTTCTCCTCTTCCACCCACTGATGCCGTAGGAAACATCTCAAGTTATGGCAAGCCCCTATGATATTTTAATGAGTAATCTGCGACCTTTGGAAAAACTCTCATTATCAGTTTTTAAGTCGGAGTTGCCATAGCAGAGCATGCTAGAATAAAAGTACATTTTTTATACTTATTTTAATTAATTACTTACGTAATACCTTCCCCAGCACTGATTTTATATGCAAAATATTGGAGCATGCTCTCCACCTCCAAAACAAGTTAAAAAGAGAAAAATGCATTTGAAGGAAGATAAAGGGAGATTCACGTTCTGATAAATATATCTAATATGTATGAAATAAACAATAATTGTGAATGTAAATCCTTTCTCTCCCCCTTCTCCAGTGTCCACCCTCACCTCACCCCCTCTAACCTCCAAGCACTTCCTGCTTCACATTCAGGAGGCTCCATCCTGTTCTTCCGCTCAGCTCTCTCCAAACTCTTTCTCTTCCCTCTTTGTTACTTTTTCTCAATGTTATAATGTCCCTTGATTTTCTTTATCTTCCCTGAAAAAGCACTTGCCTGTCTTCAAAGGAAGGACAGCCCCACTGGGTCCCAGCAGATACTTAGCACAAGTTGTGTGTCTTCCAATGGGAGAGAGGATGGAAAAATCAGTATCTTTTGTCCTGCCCTGAGGTGTGCCCAAATTTGATATAAATATCTTTTTATGTCTTTTATTTCCAAAGTTTGTTTCACATATTTTCCAAATAAGCTTAGAATACTTCCCCCCTTATTCTTTCACACTCTTAAACCATTGTATCATGAACTCTCTGGTTTCAAACTCTCTTTTATTTTTAAAATCACTAGGTTACTTTGGGTGATCAGTGCATAGAATGATAGTAATACTGAAGTGGATGGTCCCTGTCACCATCCTCGATGGTTCATTGTTAAGAAGTTTTCTAATCTGTCTGACGCAAAACATGATTTCATGTGTGCATTTTAAATATATTAAAGAAGTACCTTGTGATGGGAAAGAGTATATGGACTGTGGATTATGGGACTTTGGTGTGAAGTGCTGAAGAATCTATACTTAACAGAATCACCATAATCAGAAGCTTTTTTTAACCTCTTTATAATTTACTTGTAAAATTTGAAAAAAAAAGAATATCATGTTGTAGGATGGTTAAATTAATATTAGGTGTGTTTTAGAAATATTTTCATTTTTTTAAAGATTTTTTTTTTAATTTTTATTTTATTTGACAGACAGAGAGCACAAGTAGGCAGAAAGGCAGACAAAGAGAGAGGAAGGGAAATAGGCTCCCTGCCGAGCAGAGAGCCCAATGCTGGGCTTGATCCCAGAACCCTGTGATCACAAACTGAGCTGAAGGCAGAGGCTTTAACCCACTGAGCCACCCAGGTGCTCCAAAATATTTTCATTTTTACTTTATGATCATTATAATAATTATAATAAAGTAAAGGAACAGAATGGATTTAAATTTAACTTGACCTAGCTACTAAACACTCAGGGCACCTGGTTGGCTCAGTGGGTTAAAGCCTCTGCCTTCAGCTCAGCTCATGATCCCAGGGTCCTGGGATGGAGCCCCACATAGGGTTCTCGGCTCAGCGGGGAGCCTGCTTCCCCCTCTCTCTCTGCCTGCCTCTCTACCTACTTGTGATCTCTGTCTGTCAAATGGATAAATAAAATCTTAAAAAAAAATAAACACTCAGTTAATAGTATGAATGGTGATATCATGCAATTTCCATACATATACCGGTTTTGCAACCAGTAAAATTCTGCCAAAAACATTAAGTTATTCTCCACAGTTTGAGGTTAGTGAGACTGGTACCTTCTAGTCCTCTTAGGTGTAAAGTTCCCCTGGTGTTTTATACTCTTTATTCTAAGCTTCTTTTTTCAGTAATCAGGTAGATATAATGTAGGACCCTGAAGTGGCCTGAGGCGCCTTTTAATGACTGATCTTTTCAAAAGGAAAGCAAATATGGAATCATTTCCTTAGAAAGTATCTGTTCTAAGCTAAGCTGGTTTTTGTTTCCCCACAGTGATGGCTGGGCTGATAGGTATGATGTGACAGATGGATATCAGCGAGAAGCTGTTGGTGGAATCACAATCAAGCTCCAATCTCCCGATGTCAAGTGGTTTGATGATTATTATCTGAAGCTCCGTCCAGAAACAAACCTTCGAAACCCTTGGTTTCAAGAATTTTGGCAGCATCGTTTTCAGTGCCGGCTGGAAGGGTTTGCACAGGAGAACAGCAAATACAACAAGACTTGCAATAGTAAGCAGATTTATTGTTTCATTTATAGTGGATAATGCTAAGGCTCCAATTTAAGTAAAGTGTGTCAGGGGATAGTGGCTGTAATTTGTTAGAGAAGAGGACTCGTAGAGAAATAGAGTGGGTATTGCTACTTACAGTGATAAATGGACCTTATTCTCACTAAGAAAAGCATATCAGAGCAAGTGTTTACTCTGTGGAGATCACAAACAATTTTATAATTTATATCATTCAGGAAACTGGCACTTTGCTAAGAGGATAATGTGAGCTCCTGAGAGCAAGTGCTGTTGCCACCCTTGAAGGCAAGAGCTCCATTCTGCTCGTCTTGATTGTCTTTAGCAGTTAGCACAGCGCTAAACACTTAGTAATGGTTTCGTGTATTCTGAAGAATGAATCAGTAAATTCTGAAGGACAGAGCCAATTCCTCTTTTCATCAATAAACTAGAACATAGCAGCAGGGGTTTGTTGTGTATTGTTATTATGTTTCAGGAGACATAATCTGAGCAAAGCCATTCATTCTTACAAAAGTATAAGGGCTCACATTGTCCCAACTGTTGCTTTGGTTGTAAGGAAAACTAGTTACTGCCCTCAAGAGGTTCAGTGTCTAGAAGGGAGCTAGTCATGGCAGCCAATGTTGCAATCCACTGTTGTAAGTGATATTATATAAGTTAAACATAGGGTCTTGGTACTATTTTTGGTTGCTCATTGAAAGGGAATCTCGAGTCTAATAACCGAAGTAGGGCCAAAATTGATCTATATTTGCAAAAATAAAGGTTTGTTAAAAATTGATAAGGGATTTGTTGAGACTGCCTTATCCCCACATTGTGTAATAAGAACCCTATATGCATTTGCATAGGAATAAAATGTTTGAGTTGGTAGTATAGGTGCCTTTATCCACGATGCTGGAACACAACAAGTGCTTTGGGGCAGTAGGTTGGAAATCCTGGCCCACAAACCAATTCCGTCCACAGAGAAGTTGTCCCATACCAGCACGAAAATAAAAATAATGAGAATGATATAGAGAGTTTTTCATAATGCACTTTCCCTCCCAGTTCATGTCCATCCTATATTTTTTGGTATGAGTTCATTCTTTTGTAAAATGAAGAAGGGAGTAAATGGTGATTTGTGATTGTTTTTAAATGTCAGTACTTATTAAATTAAGAACTTGGCAACCTTATGTCAGTTCCTATTAAGGTAGTGAGGGAGGGGAGGGATGCTGGAGTGTGGGATATTGTACTGGTCACTGAAATCGAGAAATCACAGAAGGCTTATGGTATGAGCCTGTGTTTGTTTCTCTCTCACTTCAGATACTGCTTGTCCAAAGTCTTCAAATGTTTGTTCACCTCCTTTGTTTTTATTTTTATTTTCAGGAAAGAAAAATGTGTGAGCATACATAGCATTGTGACTTCTGTTACACAATTTCTAATTTTCATATAGCTAATTTCATATTTTTCACCATTCACCAGTCTATTGGACATAGACTTCTTTCCTCTCTTGAGATTTGGGAACCTCTTCCCCTCTGGGATCCAGTTCTGTGATTGTATATAGATTACTGTATGGAGCTACATTTTTTTTTTTTAAAGATTTTTATTTATTTGACAGACAGATCCCAAGTAGACAGAGAGGCAGGCAGAGAGAGAGAGGAGGAAGCAGGCTTCCCACTGAGCAGAAAGCCCAACGCGGGGCCCGATCCCAGGACCCCGGGACCACGACCCGAGCCGAAGGCAGAGGCCCCAACCCACTGAGCCACCCAGGAGCTACATTTAAGGAATCATAGAAAGTAAACAATAGATCTGATCTCATCTTCAGTTCTCTTTTACCAAGGAGTTAGTGTCAGTCCCTAACCAGTGTGGCTAAGGGAATTTTTCCAGTTGGTCTTCACCCTCTTTTGTACCAGTGCTCTTTTCCTTTGCCTTCTTGTCTGAAATGTCTTCTCCTTGAAATAGTTGTTTCTCTTATTTTTTTTTCCACTGTTGGATATCTTACATAGATATAGTCTTGAAAAACTCTTAATTGATTTCTATGGAATATTATTTCTATGGCAATTGTTCTATAAGAGCCTTCCTTTCAACCTACTACTATAGTTTTATGTCTTTCAGATGACGACCCTGATATAATTTCTCTGTTCAGAATTGGTTCCTTACTATCCTACTAGAAAACCCTCTTCAGCCACTCTGCCACCCCTGGAATCTTATCTGACAAAGGATGTCATTTTGTACATAAACATGGACACTTTTATATGCAATACCTCTGTTATTCTTTCAATAAGGAAAGCACTATGATTATCCTTATTTAAAAATAACAAAACAAAGGTTTAGAGAGAAAAAAATCACTTGTTCAAGGTCACCTAACTACTAAACTCTGGAACTTAAACTCCGTTTGTCTGATCTCCCTGATATGAGGAAGTTGAGAGGCAACATGGGGGAATGGGGGTAGGAAAAGAGTAAATGAAACAAGATGGGATCAGGAGGGAGACAAACCATAAGAGACTCTTAATCTAACAAAACAAACTGAGGGTTGCCTGGGGGAGAGGGGTAGGGAGAGGGTAGTGGGGTTATGGACATTGGGGAAGGTATGTGCTATGGTAAGTGCTGTGAAGTGTATAAATCTGGCGATTCACAGACCTGTACCCCTGGGTCTAATAATACATTATATGCTAATAAAAAAATTTTTTTTAACTCAGTTTGTCTAAAGTTTAACCAATATGATATACTAAATAGAATATGACATTTTTTTTTAAAAATTGCCATCAAATTTGCATTATATACTAGTTAATATATAGGTCAAAGATATAAAAAAGAAAAATCTTTAAATTATTTGTGTATAAATATGGAATGCAGTAACGTACACCCAAATGTTCACTATGCTCTACTTCTGACCATATTTCCTTATTTACTCAAATGTCCTTTTTGTATCTTATTCCCCATCTTCAAAGAGGCTCCAGTAGTTTACTCACATTTAACACTATTGAATGTTACCAGTGCTTTTCTAAATACAATGTACTTAAGCCCTTTCATCAGGCCGTGTGCATAAGAGAACCATTTTTTAAATGGAGTGTTAAGAAGTTTTAAGAGTTTTTCATGCCAGTCAAGAAGGTTTACCTTACTCACTGTCTACAGTACCTTAAATCTAGCAGATAGTTCAATGGGAAAAATGGCTTGACACAAAGAATAGAAATACTCATAGCTGATTACTGCTTATTTTTCTTAGGAGATTCTTGGAAGGCAAAGTATAAAAGTTAGGAGAGTTATCTAAACCTAGTAGTCCAGAATGAGCAGTAGCTTTATAGAGAGTATACCCCATTCATAGGAATTCTTTCAATGCCTGTTAGTTTTGCCTCTTCTCTTATACCACATAAATGGAATCTTATTTTATTTGCTTTTTTGTGTCTGGCCTTTCCCCTCAAAATAATGTAGTAGAGTTCATCCCATCATTGCATATATTAGTAGTTTATTGTTTTTTATCACTGTGCCATGTCGCTTTGTATGGATTTACTACCAGAATTTAGCTATCACTTCTCCTGTAGATGGACATTTGGATTATTTATGGTTTTAGGTATTAGAAATTAAAGTTTTATGAACAAGTATGTATGTATCTTCTGGCAGACCTATATCCTAATTACTGTTAGATGTATACCTAGTAATGACTTTAGTAGATAGTCCCGAGCAGTTTTACAAAGTGATCGGACTAATTTCTACTTTCCCTGAAATGTATGAGAGTTCAAGTTGCTCTGTACTCTGTCAACAGTTGGTACTATCTGTTTTTTCTTTTATTATTATTTAAAACATTCTACAAGTGTGTGTTTGTATCATATTGTGATTTTGATGGGCTTTCCATTATCTATTACCAAGGTAAGTTCTTTCTCATATGCTTACTGGAAATTGGGACATCTTATTTTATAAAGTGTCTGTTCAAGTCTTTTGCACATTTCTTTGAGTTGATTATTTTTTAACATCTATTTTAAGACTTCTTTGTATAGTGTGGATATGAATCCTTTGTTAGATATTCATATAGTGAAAATTGCCCATTTAAACCATGGCTTATTACTGATTCCTATTTCTCTCATTTGTTATTTGTTTTCTATTTGTCCACTTGTTCTTTAATTCTTTATTCCCGTTTTACTTCCTTCTTGTAGATTCACCAATAATTTTTATTATCTTACTCTATTACTTCTCTTAATATTTTTGTTTCATCTCAGTATAATCCATTTAGTTTTCAATAGAAATTACTAAATGAATCTTTAATTTATACAAACAATTTTAAGTTGGTCCTTGTTTACATTCAATAATCTTGCAAATATTTATTTCTGTTTATCCCCCTCACACTATTTTTTGCTATTGCCATATAATTTATTTCTATATGGATTATGTACAGTACAGGCTTTGCTAGGATTGTTGCCCTAAATGTCAACAGTCATACTTACCCATTTCAGTGTTCTTCATTCCTTATTGTACCTCCTTGCTTTCGCCTGTGATTTTTTTCAGCCTAAAGAATTGCTTTTAATATTTCTTATAATGTAGGTCTACTGCCAACAAATTTATCAGCTTTTTTCTTTTTTTATAGATTTTATTTTTTTTAGGATTTTATTTATTTATTTGACAGACAGAGACCACAAGTAGGCAGAGAGGTGGGCAGAGAAAGAGAAAGAGGGGGAAGCAGACTCCCTGCCAAGCAGAGAGCCTGATGCGGGAACTTAATCCCAGGACCCTGAGATCATGACCTGAGCCGAAGGCAAAGGCTTAACCCGCTGAGCCACCCAGGTGCCCTATCAGCTTTTTCTCCTTAAGAATATCTATATTTCACCTTTATTTTTGAAAAATGTATTCGCAAAGTATAGCATTCTGTATTGTCAGGTCTTCTTCAGTTCATTTTTTCTTTGAAAACAACATTCCATTTTGTTTTCTGAATTCCATGATTTCATTGAGACTTTAGCCACCATTCTTGATGTTGTTCCCTTGATGGCAATGTGTCTTTTTTCTAGGCTTTTAAGATTTTTTTTTAAG